AGGGGCGGGGCCTACCAGCATGATCTGTGACATCACAAATAGTTTGGAAGTTAATCCTGGTCCAGGATCAACTTGTGCACAGACACTGAGAATTGACTTTTTTAATGAGGTAGAAGGAGTACATGCCTTTTTCAGGATTTTTATATTGAAATGATTAGGGATGAGCAGTTTTATCTGTATCTGTTCTACCAGCTAAATTATCTGTATCCATATTTGTTCTCTAAATGGATGGGGTTTAAACTAGAATTGGTGCCTGTGCTGGAAGTGGGCTGGGTAACCGGAAATCGTTATGGGTTGATCAGAAGTTGCTATGTTTTCTAGATAAATCTGTTTACAGAATTGAGCTTCAGAGCAATGGTTTTGATCACAAGAGTACTAGAACTATATATTTTTAGAAAGTTTCTTTATTGACGAGTACGGATATTGACACATTTTACTCGTTTGGTGCTTGTACTAGATATTCCTTTCAGCTGAGAACTCATCCCTAAAAATTTGACTCTATTGTGGAAAAAAACCCCATATCAGACGAACATTATGGTTCTAAACAGACTATTGGTATATGTCATAATACTGAGTCTGGAGGGGATAGGTTCTCTAGAAAAAATGACCAAATTTAGGCTATTAATACATTCTATGACTTTTTTTGTTGACTAAAAAAGGGACATTGTAGAAAAACATGTTCATATTACTCAAAATATGTATAGTTTTGGTATGGGTGCTAAAACTCGTCCCAGCCCTCGTCCCTTTGTGTAAAGTTCCATTTGAACTTCTTAGCTGCCACCAGACATAAATCAGAAAGCACAAAAACAACTCGATTGTGAACTATCCATAAACCTCATCGCTCCTTGCTCAGTGAGATCATGGCGCTGCAGAGATTTATGTTCCATCATCAGCCAACAGACGATCTCACTGCTTTGTTATCTGTATGCAGAGCAAGCATGGTCTTGCATACTGTTTGTGTCTGCTCCAGCCAGATATGACAGTCAAAACGGTGACAGCGTGTTGACCTGCTGCCAGCGATGTGAGCTCGCACATGTACCATCTCCTCTGGCTTTTTCAGTTATTTTTAGATGTTTTTATCCTCTAAGACAGTGGTGCATTTAGCAGGCATACCAAATAGGTGGACTTTGACTTTGAATATAAGTCTACAGAAGAATTTAAATGAAGAAGCTCAACAATAATGAGAATGTTTAGTACACAGTTAAAAAAAAGTATTTTA